TCGAACATTCTTTCATTTGTCCTTAAAGGAGGATTGCACGGAAAGAACGAAGGTCGAAGAAGGGAGAAATCGCCTAGTGGGGAGAGCGGTGAATCTCTTGAGGGTGCGGACAGACACGCAATCGGCATCGAAAGATTTGACCTCTGAGATCTAGCATGGCTCAAAGTTGGCGAGTTCGGCGATCTCCGCCCACCGATCGTCTGATCACTCGCCGTAGTACAATAGGTGGCGAGTGATTAGATAGCTGAGAGAGCGTAGGGTTGAAGAGGGCAAAGCGATGAGAGTCCCATCAATGCTCAAATCAACGGACAAGGAAGGGGTCCCATTTCTCCGGTTCTGGGCCGTTTTTCGTGGTTTCGCTTTCTTTCTGGTACTACTCACCATCTCTACCTCAATTTGGAATGGGTTGCTTTTCCATCGTAAATTCGTCCTTTAACCAATGACTTCGAAGTTTAAGGGAACCATAGTATGGTTTGGGTTCTATATATAATAAGGCGGAAGTGGTGTAGGGCAAGTGGCCGCTCATCCACGCGAGCGGTCTAAAAGTTCAATCCTGGGTGTAATGTCAACCGGCCCCCCCCCCCGCAATGTAACTTGCCGATTCGGGTTCGAGGGTATGAAACCAGACTTGTTGAGCTAGGACAAAACATGATTGTGCATCGCGTTCTCCCAATCCAATATATGTATAATCACACCGCATTGCCACTATCGTATGTTCAAATGAGATAAAGATGCGTGCCAGCGATCCAGAAGGTTGCAATCATCGCGCGATCTGCTTTACCCTTATGTCTTTATTATATGGAAACAGGCAAGGTATCACACCATGAGAAAGTTTTTTTATCTCATGAAATACAAAGAAGTTTGCACGAGCTTCAATGTCCAAGTAATTTTCGTATAACTTCGTATAATGTGTAGATCGGAAGAGTTATGGACTCAAAAAACTTTTCATTTTGAAGAGAGACGGTCTCATTGAGTCGGCAGAAGTGAAAGCTGTGAGTTCGAATGGTCAATATGTTAGCTATACTTTCTTATATATCATAGACTTGGCGTTAGTCGTTTTGTAATTCGTGATTTGTCGGGTTGTGTGTTGCGGTGCGTGGGTGTGTCTGTTCTGTCAGTCCGGACCGCACGCTCACAAACCAGGCAGTATCGAAGAACACTTCGATGTTAGTAATGATATGAAACATGCCAGCCGGCATATATAAACAACGATATCGAGCACACTCAGTCTCATTCTACATGGTGCTGCCGTGGCAGCCGGATAAGCGGCGGGGGGGGGGAGGGATAAAGGGGAGGCTGGAAAGGGGAGGGGAGAGAGAGAAAGAGGGAGGGAAGGGGGAGAGGAGAAAGGGAGGGAGAACATGGCGCTGCCATGCGCCGGAGAGAAGGGGTATAAGGAGGTATAACACATTCAATAGTGAGGTGGTTAATGGAGTACGTCATGCTGCTATTCCGTGGTTCCTCCCTACCCTGTGATGCGCGCGATAGCGGGCGGAGCAAACCTGGTCATATTAGATATGAACGACATTCATAATTGTATTGAATGAGCGCCCTTATTAGTGTGTGTTTCTGCACGTATTTTGAGCTAAGATTTTATTTGCTTCTAATTTTTCTCCAAAGTGTAGCGGTAGCTCAACTTTGCGGAGAATGCCTCTGTTCGGCTAGCACTGTATGTTATGACAGGAACGAGGCTGTTATTCGACGCAAGTACAGTGCCGACGTCTTCTTGTGAGCAAAACCTGAAAGCGTTCCAGAGTTGATTTTTTTTCATATTGTCCTAACTTTGTACCTGTAACCAGTGCGGCGTTTATCTGGGTGTGCCTTAATCTCAACACCAGCATAAATGCATCCATCTTTAGAAAATTTAGCAGGGAGCTCTTCAATCTTCACTTCTATCTTCGCATTGTCCTACATTGTCCGGCACCTTAAGATGATCGATTTTTCAAGTTCGGTACAATTTCTAAAAAGGCACATACCTTAATCCAATCGGTACATCTTTTATATTCGTCCAGCTCCTCACCGACTTCCCCAGCGTCTAGAGTGTTTTCAAACGTTTTCCAATCGGTGGAAGCCTCCAGTTCAGCACCGCAATTGGATGGCTAAATCGAATTCTTGAGATAATGTTTACTTGTGAAGAGATTAGTCACCTTTTCCCCGCATAAGAGTCCACCGTACCCGCTAGGGCAAACGCACTTGGAACAATCTCGAGGATGAGCGAATCCATCATTCTGGCAAGCTGGTTTATTGTTTGCGCATGCGCCTTAAACATTATTTGTGCACACATGGGTCGTGCAAGATTTTTCTCGCACGTTACTCACCGAGGCAATCGTAGAGTTTATTCATCATAAGCAGGTCGTAAAACGAAATGATATCAGATCCAAGAGTCTCCGTATAATTACCGTCTCTAGCTTCCATAACACGCCGACTGACGTCAATGGCAGCGTTAGGGCTAAAATTGCTCACTCATATCCTCCAGATACCTCTTGAATTTGTTCTACCTTCTAGATCCGTAATGCATTATGCTACCGTAGTCGTATGTCAGGTCATAGTTATTGTTGTTGTCTCGTTCAGCTTTTCAAACTGGTCACGCCAGTCATGCTGAAGTAGTCCGCGTGATTAAAATCCTTCTGCAGCACTCACAGACCTTACCTTAATATTGTCTTCGTTGACTTTGATGTATTTGTCACGGTCATATCTTGTTTGGGTGTGGAAGAATCCAAGTGCATGACCGATTTCGTGCGCAGCAATCCCGACCTGCAGCAGAACGGGAAACGAAGTTTGCATCAATGCGAATTGAGGGAACTATTCAGTATATTGTAGTGAATAACTTGAGTGTAATAAAGGAAAGTGCTCTGAACCCATACCGATCCACAGCCTTTGCCGAGTCTGAGAGGTTGCGGACCTTTTTCTTCTTTCCTACCAACTTGCGAAAAGCATCCGTCTCCATCTTCCACGTCAAGGAAATTCGAAGCTGAAGCACTAGCTCTCTACGGTGAAGGACCAGTGTTTTTACCTCATCGTTCACTGTGGCATGGATTAGCGATGTTGGCAAGGAAGCGTTTTTTCTGGCAGAATAGGACAGCTATCAAAATTTGAAAACAGCACATTGCCACTTACTACGATATTTGGTCCAATCGTATTCTTCGATATCAATGCACGTGTCGTCTGTCCATAACTGCGCTGCTTTTCTGAAGGCAGCCTTGACCGTTTCGTCTGAACATGAATGAAATTTTGCTCATTCGTCACACGCGCGACAGAATTAAGAGCGACTGACTTGTATTAGAAAACACATATGGGACCTTTTTGTCAGGCCATCTTCTATCAAGGTCACTCATTGCTTGCCGTTTGGAACGGATTCTTAATTGCTCCCTTAATATAGCTCGAAATTTTGTCAGAGAAGTTAGCAGAAACCGAAAAAACTAGCCTTGTAAGAAGTAATATCTCCCTGGTACAGCGAGTCTGCAACCCCGCTTTTCTTGTTGATTTCCTCAATCGTGTCTCCCATTTCATTTTCATTTTCATCGACAGCTTTTCTCTTGAACGACTTGAAATGGTCCTTCTTCAAAAACTGCTTCATTTGAGAAGGTCTACTCACTTTGCGTCTCTCGAAGAAGTTTTTCTCTTTTCTCTGTAGAGGAGTGGAGAGAATGCGATTTGTGCCGCTGCTCTGGCATTGCTTCCACACATACGGCCACAAATATAGCAAATGCAAGGACCTTCATTCTGAAATGTAAAGCTGAAAGAAAATTTGTCAGTTACGAGAAATGGGAAGCGTGCCGGTGGATGTGGCTGTTACCATCTTCTCGCATTTATATAGTGCTTTCAAGCATTGCAGTTGACATTACGGGGATAGTTTGCAATGTGGTCTCAGTGAAGCATTGCCATTTCAGCTGCTGCTTTGTCTGACTCGCGGTGATATAGGTTGCGTATTGTGAAGTATACTGTAAAGGCCGTTGTGGAAACTAATCGATCAGTAGCTCTGCGTCAGCCGCACGCGTTTTGAAAAAAAGCGTACGAGCTTTTGGCGACACGAACAGCTGGGGATAACAAGAAGATTTTGATACACGAGCCAGCCACATAGCTCTCTATCTGCGATACCGAAACTCAAAAGTTGATAAGCTGAGCATATCCTTAGAGCTCGGAGTGCATCAATCATCAGCTGTTTTTGCGGCTTTCTATCAATAACTTGACGCATAAATTGTAGGTAGAAGTAATCGCTTCAAAGGCACTGAACACAATGGGGCACGGTCTCGGTGATGCTGGGCGTTATAGATGAAAGAGCATTACAAGTAAATCAGGCAACCTTCTTGTTTTATTTTATACTATAAGATGTCGTATGTTCACACTCTAAGGAAGAATTTGCCGGATGGCATGAGCTCTGCACTGACAAGATGGGAAGGCTCTAACTGTGGGAAGCCCTTGTTGCACACCGCAGTAGAGCCTTGTGCAAATTATATGTATTTCTTGTCATAACGACGTCTATATTATAGTGTTATCATAAAACGTCGATCACGTCGTCAGTGGCCGCAACTGCTGCGATATTGAGAGAGAATGGAATACCGAAAAAATCCAAAATGGATACCGAAGCAAAACAAAGCAATCACTTAATGGGCGAGTGTGACATGGCGGAATTATAACCATACAATCAATTATAGAGGATGAACAAATATCCATCACTAAATATTTCTGAGATAACATTGATGAGTACTGCAGCATTTCTGGGCTGCCTATCCCTAATCTATATTATCAAATTCCTCTTGAGTAGCATTGAATTATAAAAATGGCGCTGCTTTCGTAATTGTGGTCAAGTCATCCTGGGTTAATAGAGCCGATGGAATAATCGTCTGTCATTTTGAGGCACCTGCTGCTGCACCAGTCCGCGAATTATTCTATAGAACAAATCTAGAAATATCATATATCGAATACGGCGACAGAGCAGCAGGTGGAGAAATTTTCCGTACCGTTTATGTCAACATAGATCTCGTTCGCATAATGTCAACGCCGAAATAAAGAAGTTTTTGAAAGAAAGATCAGAAGCCAGGCCAACCATCGACATATATTCTCTTCTGCCATGTATTGTACGTCAGCGAGTACTTATGTAGATAGCAGAGCGAACGTTAGTGTTGAAGACGGCACAACGATGATAGTCGCATCAATTTGCAATTCGGAGGGCAAGAAAGGGATTCCATTTCTTGGGTTTCAGGCCGTTTCTCATGGATCTATCCTTTGCACTCTGAACCACTCTTACACTTCATCCCAATAAGTTACCTTTTCAATCATCAATGGACAGTAACTCGAGTGCAAACACTCAACATTTGACTCGACGTCCATGATGTTAAGGATCACACTCGGATATTTCCAAATCTTCGGCGACTTTAGAGATGACTAGCTCATCATTATTGATCTTGCGAACCATCGGCGTGCACTCGAGAGACAGCTTCGCCACTTTTTCTTTTTATAGTTTTTTTTATAGAGATCACGCTGCCATATCGGGCAAACCAAGTGCAGCGGCTACTGAGTAGCGTCAAAAGTATCCACGAATGCTGTTTGGGTCGTAACTTCCCTTCTACTGAATCAAATCAGTTCAACTATTGACATCGTCTAGAAGGGAAGCTTTTTCACTGATTAAGTGTGTTAAGGTGAATAGCAGAAGAATCCAGAAAAAAATTATTACGCTTAAGAAATCCCGGGTGTGATCGAATTCCAAGTAAATTTCAATTCATTGTAAAAAGCTCAATATTCAACAAAACAATCTACCGCATAGTAAAAAACGTTGGGCAGATTCGATACTTTCTCGGTTACCTTCTGGAGTGTTAAGACCTCGACTGGAATTGATCATTGATTGCAATGTCTGTTGGGACAACCTTTCTAACTTTCTTTCAATATGACAAGTTTCTCTTCTCTAACTCCGGCTCTTTTTTTGCCCAAGGTTTCCTGCCTTGTTCCATAGCGTTTCGATGACGCTTAGGACTCGTGGCTTGTGGCACTCGGTCGCTCCGTTAGAAGCACGCCATGCTGGCGAAACCATTCCTTCACAGTGGAGGTGCGATGCTTTTGGTGGCTTTATTGCTAGAAGACGAAGACATTAGCGCGCAGTTGCCATACGTCTTTATACACATACACAACACCTTCTAGAATCTGGCTGCATTCCGTCTACCTTCACCGCTCAGTTGTCAATCCTGTGAAGTTGTTTAACCGTGAAGTGTAGAACATGGAACGGGTTTACGCACATCTGAACTGAAGGTCCCCACAGCACTCCAATGTCATTTGGAGCGAAGAGAATGGATTCATGATATTTGTCGGCGACAGCAATATGCGTGTATGGAGACTTGACGGAAAGCGTTTCGATCTGAAGTATCAGCTGCCATACTTGTAAATAGGCGGAGGCTCGGTCATAGTAGTTCGTAGCAGAAGCTGTACCGCTGCAGAGGATTCGCGAGCTGGTGAAGGCAGACGATGCAGTTAGGTTCTAGAAGGTGTTGTGTATCCACTCGTATGGCAACTGTACGTGACTGTCTTCGCCTTCTAGCAATAGAGCGACCAAAAGCATCGCACCTTCACTGTGAAGGAGTGGTTTCGCCAGCATGGCGTGCTTCTAACGAAGCGGACCAATTCAGTCACATGTCCTGAGCGTCATCGAAACATTATGGAAAAAGCAGGGAAACCTTCGGCAGAAAAAAAGCCAGGAATATGGAAGAGAAACTTGTCAAATTGAAGAAAAATTGAGAGGTTGTCCCAACAGACATTGCAATCAATGATTGATTCCAGTCGAGGTCTTAACAACTCCAGAAGGTAACCAAGAAAGTATTGAATCTGCTCAACGTTTTCTATTATGCGGTAGATTGTTTTGTTGAATTGTAAGCTTTTTACAATAAATTGAAATTTACTTGGAATTCGGTCATACTCGAGAATTTCTAGTGTAAATAATTTTTCTTTCTAAATTCTTTCTCCCATTCAACAGTAATACACTTGCTTAGTGAAGAAGTTTTCCTCTGAAAGATATCAAAATTGAACTGATTTGATTCAGCAGAAAGGAAGTTACGACCCAAAAAGCATTTGGCTGAATACTTTTGAGCGCTACTCTATCTAACCGCTGCACTTGGTTCGCCCACGATATAGGACAGCGATAACTCCGTTAAAAAAGAAAGAAGGTAGAAAAGCTGTCCCTCAATGCCACTGCCAGGTGGCTTGCAATCCTACTATATACAGGGGGGGGCAATAAAAAAAGACATTTTGTCTCCACTTCCAGATGGATTTAAGCACACTTTGCTCAATTCAGACCGAGTGGTCCCAACTTATATTGAAGAGCACATTCCTTCTATAAGAAAGCGATTAGCGTGTGTCTGTTGGTGTGTGTTTGACCGGAAATTCATAGCTCGAGTCACAGTAATGATAGCGCAGTGGTTCTTACATATGTTATAGGGGGTGGGATGGGGACACAAGTGGTACGTGATAGGAACTGATAACGACTGATAATAGCTGATAAGAGGGGCTAGAAAGCGAGCATCGCCAATTTCGTTTTGTCGTTCATATTGGTACTAGAGCGTCTATACTTACAAGTGTTATGTGGGGTGGTCCCGGGACATTGGTGGTACATGATGGAAGCGATAGCAACTGATAAGGGCTGATAAGATGCGTCAGAACGCAAAAGTCGTCGATTCCGTTACGCAGCTCGCGTTGACACTAGAGCGTCCATACTTACAAGTGTTATGTGGGGTGGGACGGGGACATTGTTGATG